CAAGTTCTAGATGGGCATGACACCTTCCATAAACCATCCCAGTTACAGTAAGGCCTTTCTCAGCCGTAAAACGCAGCCAACGCCTCCACCCAAATGATGAAGCCATCAGGAGACAATATGGCTTGGGTGGAGGGCCCAGAGGCCTCCGGGCTCTCTACTCTAGGCCCAATTCCTGTGCTAGAAAGCAAGGAAAGCCAGGAGAAACTTACACCATCCAGAAGAGCCCCTTGCAAAGCTCATTAAAACACATGATGAATTCCCAACATTAACTAACTGTGAATAAGTTAGGCCCGGCTCTCCCCTACGGCAGGACACTTGAGACAGTGCAGGTAAATCAAGGCAAAGTAACCGAGTGTAAAAAAGAAACAGATAAAGGTTTACTCCTGAAATAAGACGGGCTGTTCAGGAACTGTGTTCATTTTACTGTTTTCTTTTTTTTTCCCCTCCTCCTTTCTTTAACCATTAGGTAGGAATGGATACCAGATACAAAGCACTGGACAAAGAGGTTCAGAGATACGATCGGCAAAGTTCCCCACCAAAGCCCGGCTAATAGCACTCTGGCTGATTAGAAAGCACTTGTGTCATTTGGGAACTTGAATCCGCTCTTATCAACCCTCTGCCTACATCACTTATCAGGGTGGGAATGCAAGGTACATCAGCTATGCAACAGAGTGATTTCTGGGGCCTCTGCCTGTGAAGAAGCAGATCAAAAAAGAGTTCGTGCCTGCCAGAGCGAAACTCTCACCATAGCAACACATGTTATTCTACAAACAGTCAGGACTAAGGCGCACTGTTGGGACCAGTCTGGATCCCGCCTCTGAGAAACGAGCCACTCGGTGCAGACAACAGCAGGCAAGAGAAGCGGCACCTAGTTAGCTTGCAGGGCAGTCTCCTCATGGTCTCTACTTCTCCACAAAGCTGACGAGAGGCAGCCCCAAGACCTGCCCACTACTCAAGGCTGGGTCCTAGTAAGATGAATGTCAGTGCTCTGCAGGGGGCAGCTGGACCAGCGTTCCCTGGGGAGGAAGAGCATCAGGACCGTCCCATATGGAGAGTAGACAGTAGACGGCTAGTTCTGGAGGACTTGTCATCTTACAATGAACTGCAACCAGGGGGGTAGCCAATGAACTTCTTCGAAGTGTATCACAAGTTAGTCACAGAAAAACAACTTACATCGGCATGTATATGTCCATTCCATTAACATTCTTTTTCTATTAACACAATAGAAAAAGTGTGTGTGCGCGTGCGTGCGTGCGTGTGTGTGTTTTAAGTACTGGGGACTGAACTCAGAGCCTCATGCTTGCTTGGCAGACACTCTACTGCCATATTCTGCCTCCCCTCGCCCTTTCTAATCTCCTACTTTGCAGATAGAGCCTCTTGGGTTTTTTTTGCTCAAAAGCCACCCTTAGACTGTGGCCCGATCACAGGCAGGAATCACCAGGCCAGGCTTGGAGGCCCCAGCAGGCCTCCAACTGAGAACCCCCGATCTCTGCCTCCCAGTAGCCAGTGTAAGCCACCATTCCTGGCTAAAGCACAATCATTCTGCAACTTAACATTAAAAGACAGGACCAAGCCAGGAACCAGTGGCTTGGGCCTGTCATCCCAGCTAGTCAGGAGGCTGAGATCTGATGATCAAGGTTCCAAACCAGGCTGGGGAAGAAAAGTCTGTGAGACTCTTATCTCCAATTAACCAGCAAAAAAAAAAAAACCCAAACTGGAAGAAGAGCTATGTCTCAAATGGTAAAGCACCAGCCTTGAGGGGAGAAAGCTGAGGAACGGCACCTACACCCTGGGTTGCAGCCCCAGCATCAGTACAAGGGGAACAGGTTGATTTCACAGGTAGCTGGAGGATGTGAACGTGCCCCCAGCCCTGTGGACTAATGGCTGTGACCTACGCGATGGGCTTGCATTGTACGAGTTACAAACACTTCATCCTCCAGAGTCCATCACAGTCCCGCTGGGAAAGAAGGTGGTTGCTGGACAAAGGAGAACCAACCTGCTTCCAAAACAATTAAAAAGCAAAAGCCGGCCACTTCCCTCTCCCTCCCCTCGCTGCTGGGTCCCAAATCCTTAAGTCACCATAGACCTACAACTGACAGGCTCAGAATCTCAGCAACATTTCTTCACAGCTGCAGAGACGGGAGGAAGAAAATCAACAAAAGTTTCTGTCTGAAAAATGACATTTTAAAGGTAGTGTATAAATCGCTTCCTCTTTCTTCCAGACGGCCTCTTCTGCTCACTCTCTATTGGCTAATGAAAAAAGTACTCCTCTCCCTGCCTGTTTCAGTCGGAAACGTGGCACAGGACACTGGAAAGCAAAGGGGAAACGAGAGGGGAGGGCTACTTTCAAGTGTGACACCTACACAACACCCCAACTCACCCCACACCGAGAGGACCTGCAGGCCACACTCCACCTAAGAGAGGACTGAAGGTAGAGAAAACCTGGGCCACCACCTCTCCCAAAAGCAGAGTTAAGAAAGAGAAGCTGGAAAAGGAGGGGGGGAAATAAAGTTCCACATTCCTGACATTTTTTAGCCAAGCGCTGTGGCTGAACAGTACAGCTCTATTCCAAATATCCCCAGGACGAAGAGAAAGCCAGGCTGCGGGGAAGAACCTGCCCCTGCCTTGGGAACTGGATGGCCCAAAACTAAACCAAAAGTGTGTGTGTGCCTCTGTGTGTGTGTGTGATTTGTGGAGTCTAGACAGCCTTTCATGTGCGTTCCCAAGAGGAAGTGATCCCAAGGGAAGGAATTCAAAGTCAACATCTCCCAGACAGAAAGCTAAAGCCCCAGAGGTCCTGAGAGGGAAACGGAAGCTCTGTGAAGGTCTGCAGAGATCACTGAGGCAAGGCTTACGTGGCCCTGAACAGTTTGGGGGAGATGGGGCTCAGCTCACTGGCAGAGGCTGGGCGGGAGCCCCAGAGGGGAAGAATCATAACTGAGCTTTCCACACCCAGCTTCTGAATAAAGGGGCCCTAGCCTGGCTCAAGACAGAAGCTCCGATGCTGGGATGGTTTTCTTTCCTCTTTCTCCCCGTTCCTCCTGCGCCTCTTTCTGTCCCCACTTCTAGGAAACCCCACATCAGGTCCTGGACCAACCTTTCCACGGTATGCTTCCCTGTATACACATACACACACCTCCAGGGGGCACCTGGCGGACCCTAAGTAATACCTACTCAGTCTTCCTCCCTCCAGTCCCTTAAGCCCCACCACTGGTCCCTCTGAAGTTCCTACATGTTTCTGCTCTCATTTGGGAGGGGTGGCAAAGTTCCATGCCCACACCTCCCCTCAAAGAGTATCTCTGAACGGAGGTGGTCAGCAGGAATGGACAGTGAGGAGCTACCGTGCACCCAGCACGAGCAGGAGTTCTTCCCAGTGGAGATCCGAGACAAAGCCTTCTTCCTGCCAGGACATTACAGCCTGACCACCCTGGCATCTCGCAGGAGATGCCAGCCCTACAAGTCCCATGGGGCAGAGGTGTTGTGAGAACAGAGGCGCCTTTCCACCTTCCCTGGCCCATTCCTAGCGCTGAGGGACAGCAGTTGTTTTTTTGTTTTTCTCATTTGGGTCCTTTCTCCTCCCTCCTAACACATCTCAACTTCCACAGGTTGGAAGGTTTAAAGCGCAAGGCTTTCCATAAGAAAGGCAGAAAAGGAAGGAGGTGGGGAATTCAATTGCTAGGCAGCTCTCTTGGCACCAGACTAAAGCAGGTATAGCCAAAAACTTTAACAAATACTACAGTACAACGGACAGCCACAGACCAGGTGAGAAACTTGGCGAGCTGCAAGCTGGTGGCTATGAAGTTCATGGCCAACACATGTGTCTTTGTAACCATATCCTCCAGACTAGGGGTCCGGCACTGGAGTGGAGGATGGTAAATATAGACAGAAAGATACCGAGTGGGTTAAATCAACCCTCTGATTTCTCATTAACTTCATAGTAACAGTGTTCTAGAGGCAAGAAATTGCTTCTCACGTTGATAGGATGCATGACAACGTTTGTTGCTGTGATCTGGGCTAAACTTTACAATCACCCTGCGAGGAAGGCAGGCTCTGCCAACTCCTGCACTGATAGGGAAACTGAGGCTGTGATTAGTTTTCCTGGGAGATGAGGGACAGAGGTTAGGGAGTGGAACACAGTCCTGTCCTGGGACAGCCATGGTGGGGGGGGGGGGGGCGGGAGGTTCCCTGGAGAAGCAAGCGGAGACCCCAGTCCCAGTCCCAGGGTATTTCCTACAGACCCTGAGGCTCGGCCAACGACGCACGCCCCCGTCCAACCTCGACCCGGCCACAAGAATGTCCTCAGGTAGAGGACAGCTCATCACCAGCTGACCTAGACCGGAGATGAGGGACCCAAGGGGCAGGGGGCCTGGGAGAAGGGCCCCTCCATCTCCACCCCGGCTGTTAGGCGGTTGCAGCGTGGTGACACGGGCCCCAGGACGCAGATAAGCAAGTCTCCCGACCAGCAAGGAGCCTCCTCCGAAGAGCCGGGCCGGGAGACTGGGGAGTGCCGCCACATATCTCACTGGGAGACAAGATATGCCGCGGCCAACCCACACCCAAGTTTCCCCAGCCCTCCTCCTCCTCCTCCTCCTCCTCCCCGGAGGAGCGCGGTGCTCCGGGCCACTGCCGCCCCGCAGCCCCCAGCTGCCGGCCCATCGCGGGCCTCCCCTTCCCCGCACGTGGATGCAGGGCCGCCGCGGGGTGCAACAGGCTGCGGCGGAGAGGCCGAGGCCCGCCCGGGGCGCCGCGGGCGGCGCCCGGAGGGGAGTGGGCCGGGGCCCGGGGCCCTCCCGCCGGCGGGCCCCACGCGGCGGCGGCGCCGGGCCGGGCAGCGCCCGCCGTCGGGCCGGGCCCGGGGGAGGAAGCCCTGGGCGCGCGGGGCCGGAGCGGCCGGGCGGCCGCGGGTTCGAGGCCGGCTCCGGGCGGCGGCGGAGCGCACCGGGCTCGGGCCGCCGGGGCCGCGCACGAAGCCGGCGCGGGGCCCCGGGCCGCGGGCTCACCTCGAACATCAGCCCGATGAGGACGCACAGCACCAGGCAGAAGCCGATGTCCGCGTGGTTGTGGATGACGAACTCCTGGCTGAAGAGCGGGTAACTTTTCGTCCTCCTGCGGAAAGCCATGGCAGCGGGCGCGCGCGGCCGGCGGGGCCCGCACCCGCGCTCCCCCGCCGCAGCGCAAACTTCGCCAGCCCCGGCCGCGTCGTCCGTCCGTCCGTCCGTCCGACCGTCCGTCCGCCCGCCCGCCGGCCCGCCGCCCGCTCGCCCCGCCGCGCGCCCGCCCGTCCGCCCGCCCAGCGCGGAACAACTTCTGCGCCCCGCCCCCTTCCTCCGCCCGCCTCCGCCCCGCCGCCCGGAACCGCCCTCGGCCGCAGCCGCCTCCTCGGCCGCGGCCCGCACGCACCCGGCGCGCCGGCGCGCCCGGCCCCGCCTCCTTCCCGGCCGGCCGCCGAACGCGCTCAACGCGGAAGGCCCTCAGGTCCCGCCCCTCGAAGCCACGCCCCCTCCCCGGCCGCGGCCCGCACTCGACGCGCCGGGCTGGCCCGACCCCGCCCCTTCTCAGCCGCGTCGCGCACTCCGCGCGCCTGGCCCGCCAGGCCCCGCCTCCTGGCCCCGCCCCCTCCCTCAACCGCGGCCGACACGCAGCGGGCCCCGCCCCTCCCGCCCCGCCCTCGCGCGCTACGCCCTCGCGGGCGGCCTAGCGCGGCGGCCTGGGCCCGGTGTCCCGGGGTCCCCTTCCCCGCGCCAGCGCCAGCGCCGCGCCGCACGCCCCGGAGCCCGGGCCGGCCGCCGCACGCGCCGGGCAGGGGCCGAGACGGAGGCGGCGGCGCCCGGAAGTGGGTCCGGGGTCCCCCGCCCGCTCCGCGCCTCTTCCTCCCGGGGAAGGGCCGGGCCGGGGAGGCTCGGCGGCCGCGGGCGGCCCGAGGTCGCCGGGGCGCGGGCTGCGGGGCCGGGCCGGGCCGGGCCGGGGGAGCCGCGGCGCGGGCGGAGCAGGGCCTGCCCCGGACGCCGAGCCCGCGCGACGCCGGCGGGACAAAGGCGGGCTTCGTCCTGCCAGCGCCGAGTGTGCGGGGACGCGGGGCGGACGCGAGCCGGGCGGTGTCCGCGGCCGTCACTTCTGCGTGCACACGAGTTCCCGCCGTGGGGCGCGCGGCTGAGGCTGGGTGGCGTCCCTGCGGAGGTGCTCCCTCTGCGGAGGTGCTCCCTCTGCGGAGGTGCTCCTCCTGCGGGAGTGCTCCTCCTGCAAGGGTGCTCCTCCTGCAGGGGTGCTCCTCCTGCATGGGTGCTCCTGCGGGAGTGCTCCTCCTGCGGGAGTGCTCCTTCAGCAGGGGTGCTCCTTCTGCGGGGGTGCTCCTCCTGCGGGAGTGCTCCTTCTGTGGTAGTGCTCCTCCTGCAGGAGTGCTCCTTCTGCAGGAGTGCTCCTTCTACAGGAGTGCTCCTCCTGTGGGGGTGCCCCTTCTGCAGGGGAGCTCCTCCTGCAGGGGTGCTCCTTCTGCCGGGGGTGCTCCTTCTGCACTTGCTCTCCTTCCTGCTTGCCTGGTTCCATTTTCCACGATCGTTGGGGGAAGGTCTTTCATTCCCCCTCACTGACTCAGGGATATGAGACCGTGGCGAGTGCGTTGCTCAGGGTTGGCTCAAAGTCCAGCGAAGAATCAAAAGATCAAGAACCCCCCAACACTTGGATTTCCTCTTTCTGAAGGCAGATGAATCCAGATTTTCAACTTGCAACACGTCAGTTACCTTGAGCCCTAAGAATCTGGCTTCTTCATATGGGTCAAAACTGAGTATCTGTATTTCAGATGATTCCTCCTAACAGCACACTTGTTTGCCTTAACAGATGAAGATAGTGTGCTGGGAATTTTCCTCCATAAAGTGAAGTTGTTGTCAGTCTCTTAGCATTGAAACTTTAGGTGTCAAGCCTTGGGCAAAGATGTAATAAACTCCATAACCCAACCTAGATTAGGCACCAGTGGCTCACGCCTGTAATCCTGAGCTACTCATGAAGTTGAGGTCTAAGGATCTCAGTTTAAAGTTAGCCTTGCAGACAAGTCTATGAGACTCATTTTCCATTAAGCACAAAAGGCCAGAAGTGGAGCTGTGGCTCAAATAGTACAGCACTAGCCTTGATCACAAAAGCTCAGGGACAAGGCCTAGGACCAGCAAAAAACGAAAAAAAAAATTCACAGCTTGGGGGGGGCGAAGGGAGGGAGAAGCTGGGGAGGTGGGAAGGAAAGGGATCATAAGAGAAAAACAAAGGAGGAGGTAACCATGCTCAATAGGAAGTATACTCATTACCTTACTCATAACTGTAACCCCTTTGTACAGTATTTTTACAATAAATATATATATTAAAAATAGATACAAAAAAGTTAAAATTAAAACCTGCCCTCCTTTTTTTGTTTTTTTTTTTTGGTCAGTACAGGGACTTGGTCAGTACGCAGAATTGCTACCACTTGAGCCACACTTTAACACCCCCCCCCCTTTTTTTTTTGGTCGGTTGTGGGGTCTGAACTCTGGGCCTGGGCACAGTCCCTCAGCTCTTCAGCTTAAGGCTAGCGCTCTACCATTTGAGCCACAGCACCACTTCCAGCTTTTTCAGCTTATGTGGTGCTGAGGAATGGACCCAGGGCCTCATGCATGCCAGACAAGCGCTCTACCACTGAGCCACCTTCCCAGCCCAACCCCCCCCCCCTTTTAAGGTTGTTTTTCAGGGAGAGTCGTGCCTGTTTTGACTGGGCATGCCCTGGATCACATCCCTCCTATCTATGCCTCCAACTTAGCTGAGATTATAGACATATACCACCATGCCCAGCTTTTTTGTGGAGGTGGGATCTTTCAAACTTGCCTGAGCTGGCCATGGGATTTGGTCTTCTTTCTCATCTTTGTGCACCAACACAAGCAATGTCAGTGATAAAGTAATTCCTCACCCCCAAATCTTTCCATCTTACTTCTAAACAATTGCTGTCAAAACTGCTGAGTCTTAGTAATAGATATGTAATCTTCAATTTAGCACATTTTTATTTTTTATTTTTTTCTATTTAGCACATTTTTATTTATCTCTTAGTACACACTGTAATCTGCCGGCAAATTTTTCCTAAGAATCTCATATATATATAGTTAGCCCTGATCCATGAAATCTCAGACACCCACGTTGTTTGGATCTGATTGGAATTATCCAGTTTTGTTTGGGTTTGTGTCTCCAACATAAAGTACTGCTGTGTCTGAACCACAGATTTGAAAGAAACACAATTGAGCAATTTTAATTGTGGAGATGGGAAAACAGAACTTGAGGTCCTTTAGTTCTCTCTTCTGTGTGACCGCAATTTCATTTGTATCGAAGATTTAAAAGTGAAATAGAATGCACAATCTCATTAGTGTTCATATTTGTTTCATGGCATGATTTATTTCTGGAAATTTGTGCTTGCTTGTTATAGAGAGAGATGCAAGTCTTCACATACCCAATATGCTAAGCACAGAGAATTGTGAAATTAGGATTTTGTGTGTTAGAAGCTACCCTAAAGATCACATGTCTACTGCTCCCTTTAGAGAGAAAGGAAGGAAGGTCCTGAATTAGCTGTCACTATGACTTAGAGCATTGGATAGAAGACAGCCCCCTCCCCTGCTCCAGGGCTATGGCTCCTGGCACTCTCCGCACACTCTGGTGGCTTTCCTTCAGCAGACAGACAAACACTGGTAAAAACAAAGCCCTTGTGCCCTGTGGGCTAGTGACGCAGAAGCACAGTGAGGCAAAGGAGCCTGGACTCCTGATTGCTCCCGGATTCTTACCACTGCACTCCACTTCCCCTTCCAGATTAATTCCAGAGGACTAATGCATATGCTCCTGACTTCTGTATGGGAAGAGGGCCACGTTTCTGGAAAGAGACATAAGTGCACATTAGAGATGAGCAAACTTCAGTCACCCTTCTCTCCTCCAGAAAATACTAAGCTACAATATTTTGGGAAGTGAGGGATTTTCACACACTGAGTTCTCCAATTTGAGCAGGTTTTTGTTTTTGTTTTTTGGGGGGTCCGGTCGTGGGGCCTGAACTCTGGGCCTGGGCGCTGTCCCTCAGCTCTTTAGCTCAAGGCTAGTGCTCTACCACTTGAGCCACAGCGCCACTTCCGGCTTTTTTCTTTTTTACTTATGTGGTGCTGAGGAATCGAACCCAGGGCCCCAGGCATGCAAGGCGAGTGCTCTACCACTGAGCCACCTTCCCAGCCTTTGAGCAGGTTTTTGAATAGTAAAAGATATCAAGCAGCTGGGCACTGGTGGCTCATACCTATAATTCTCCCTACTCAGGAGACTGAGATCTGAGGATCGCAGTTCAAAGGCAGCCTGGGCAGGAAAGTCTGTGAGACTCCTATCTCCAATGAACGGAAGTGGAACTGTGGCTCAAAGTGGTAGAGCACTAGCCTTGAGCAAAAGAACTCAGGGACAGCACCCAGGCCCTGAATTCAAACCCCATGGCTGACAAAAAACAAAACAACAACAAAAAGAAATCAGTAACCTAAACTGCCCATGAAAATGTTTGTTCTTAGGTCTTGCCATGCACAAGAAGAAAGCAAGAATGCACATAGCGTTAAGACACTGCTAGAATGCACTGAGGAAGAGCTATGGAAAGATGATTTGCATGAGATAGAATGCAACTCCAGAATTCCTGTTACTTGACTGTCAGGCCTTCCTTGTCTGAGCAGCTCCATGCTAGACTAGGAGAAACAGACACTGCCTTGATTCCACTCAGGCACCTCCTGTGGGACCTGGCCACCAACCTTAAATTCATCCATCTCTGCTTCTCAAATCTCAGCCCTGTGTTTAGGAACTCTTCACTTGTGAATTCTCAGTTGGGTCTGTCTTTACAGTGCTCCTTCCCAGAGCAGTCAGATAGGTATGTCCTGGCCCTTACTGGACTAATAATTCATCTCTTACCACCTGCTTCGAAGGGCAATGGCTAAGTGAATCCAAGGATGGATGGATGAGTGGATGGATGAATGGATGAGTGGATAGATGAGTGGAGTGGACAGGTGAATGATGGATGATTGGATGGATGAAAGAGTGGATGGATGGACAAATGGACAGGTGAGTAGGTAGATGAGTAGATGGAGGGATGAGTGGACAGACTGGTGAATGGATGGATGAGTGAATGGATATATGAGTGGAAGGATGGATAGATGGATAGAAATAAACAATGAATTG